ATTATCAAATAATAATCATTCAATAATAAGTTCTATTAATGAAAGAAACTTGCTGGATGAATCTATTTCAAATCTACAAGACATTTCCTCAAATAAACTTCTCGAAACATCATTCATTGATCAAATAATATCAAGTAATAACTCTACTAAACTTTCACGAACTATTCCATTATTAATTTCTACAATGTTAAAAAATCATTACACATCTCAACAAATTGATTCACAAATATCTGATAAATCATCAACTAGTATATTAAAATTTTCTTTTAATTTTATAATAAAAAAAAAAAAAATGAACAAATTTTCCATATCTTCTTGTAGCATTAAATTTGACTGAAGACGAAATTATTATTCTGAATAATCTTTCTGAAGCAATAAATAAAATAATTCAAAAAGAATATACAACTAATTGTAAGTAGATTCATAAGATATGAAAATAAAATTATTTCTTATTATATTATTTAAGTTCCTTTAAATATTGAAATGGAAGATTCGATACCAATATCAGCTAAACAACTTGAACTAACGGAACGAGTAAGCTTACTAATGAAAATTACAAAAATTTAATCTTTTTTTTTTTTATTTGTTAGAGAAAACAACGTTATAAACTTCAACGAGAAATAATTACTATTGCTAAAAAAACATTAAAGCCAGCATTTAAAAAACACGATGTAACAAAAGAAGAATATAAAAAAATAATGAAAAAAGTTGTTACAAAAGTACGTGTATATTCATTTAAAGACTATTGATTTTCGATAGAATTCTTTTAGGCTATGTATTCTCATAAAGTTAATCATAAATCAATTGGTAAAATGATTGATGCTTATGTCAAAAAATACCAATCATCACATCGTCATCATAGTAACTCATTGACATGATTTCAAATTTTAATAAAATTTGTATATAATTTTCTGTAAATATATATATATCTGTACGGAATTCAAAATAATTATAAAGCACTCTTGTTCATGATTGCTTATTGTTGTGTAATTTTCTTGCTTTCTAAAATTCATGATTCTTTTTTGTTATAAATATTTATTTGCCGTTCTAGGTTCTTTTGATCACTTACAGAAAAACTTACTTGTTGTTGATGACAAATGACGATATAGCGAAATTTCAATACTGAAAAGAGATTTGTATATTGAATGGACATATGATATAGGGTATATCAAAAATAATGACGTCCGCTCTATAATATCGTATAGAAACCTCGAGAAGAACTATATTTTATATCTATTGATAATACGAGCAGTTTTCTGTATTTCTTCAATACAGCATTATTGTTTAGTTGATATGATAATAGAAAAATTTTGATGAAAGTTTGATGCCTCTGTTTTAAATCAATAAGAAAAAACCAATGCTCTGTTTTTAGAAACTTGTTTTCATCTTTCAGAAGAGTTGAACAATCATATATTTGTAAAAAAAAAAAAAGTCGAATACGAAGCATGAAGTGTTAAGTCTACAATTGCGACAATATCTAAAAATATTGAATTGATTAATTGCCTGACTAATGACAATCCTTATGTTGCAATAGGTCAACTGCAAGTGTACAAAAACCTAGACATCAGTAAAGAAGGGTAAAATATCAAGGAAATATAGAACATTGTTTGACCTATTAGTATACATAGAAATATTCCTCAAGCTATCGATGCAATATTACAATATTGATATCATTATTTATGTTACATTCCATAGAGAGAACTACCTTAAATGACTTTCGCTATTAGAGTTTATATTGGACCCAAGAGAAGGTCTTAAAGGGATTAGAAAAAGCCTAAAAGCGTTTGTCTTCATTGGTCTTTGACACAAATTTATAACTATTTGATTAGATTTTCGACCAAGCTTTCATCTAAAGTTTTGTCTATACACAGGTCTAATGACTTGTAGGATATTCTAAAAATTTCAGTCGAAAACAATGTTCCTTCGTCAAGATATTGAATTTTCAATTAAACTCCTTTTTGACATATCTGTGACAAAAGACTTTTTTTTTTTTAGACATTCAATATCTGAGCGAAAAAACATTCTTTTCGACTAAAACTTTCAGAACAATCTAAGAATCTATCGGGCAATATTTTGAATTGAAACTTCGTTATTCGATTTGTCTGAAAGTACTTGAAAGTGTTTTAAAAATTCAGTATATTGTTCATAAGTCGGCGTCAAAGACTTATGAGAACGAACCATTTTAGAATATGGCTAGTGTCAGTCGAGAAACTTCTTTCACAATTATTTTCAGCTATTCAACATTTTAAGTTTGAGTCTGTTCGATGAATAACAACTTGAAAGTATTTTTTCTCATTTACATGTTATCATGTTGTATCTATTGAATAAAATTCAACAAAAAAACCGTTCAAAATATTTCTCATTGGTATTATGTTGTTAGCATTGAAAACTGCAAGTTTTTATTTTGATTGTTTCATATCAGCTTTATCATTCTTATCTATTGTCAATATGTGTTCTATGGTGACTATGTTCTTTGCTTTTTATCTTTCATCATTTTCTGTTGTAGCAACAAACTTTCATTAATTTGTAAATTGTTATTTGTTGTTGATAATAGCTAAAAATCAACAAATTTAATTATTTCATAGAGCTAAAAATTCACAAAACTGAAGGTCAGTTTTAAGTTTGCGGTATTGTCTCTTTCGTTTTATTTCGATCGGTATAATTCTTTTTCATAGCAAAAAAAAAAAAAGTAATGTAAAATTGAAAATCGATAGATCTCGTTAAAAAAAAAATAAGAACACAAACAAATACGAATGAAATTGATACTTCATCAAATTATAAATAGATTTAAAAAAAAAACACAAAATATTCAAAGAGTAGAATTTAATAATCATATAAACAACAATAAAATTAATTTTAGATGTTATTTCTTATAATAATTATTATCATATTGATTTGTATAATTGTTTTTATACTTCATGATTATCTTACTTTTCAACGTGGTCGTTTATCACGTTCACGTGATCAAATATCTGCTACATCTATAACAAAAATGGGACCTGATCAATTCATTGAACTTTCATTTGGTACTGTTCATTATATTTATCATCCTTCATCATCATCATTACCATTGAATATATTCGTTCATGGTTATTCAACTCCAATGGAAATGTGGCAATATATATATCCAACATTTGTTAATGATAATCAACCATGTTTAATTTATGATATATATGGTCGTGGTTGGTCGGATGCTCCTCATGTACCAATGAATATTGATATATTTGTTTGTCAATTAGCTGAACTTTTATATGCATTAAATCTTCCATATGAAAAATATAATTTATTTGGTGTTAGTATGGGTGGTGCTATTATTCAACGTTTTACAGAACTTTATCCATCACGAGTATCAAAATTAATTCTTTGTTGTTCAGCTGGACTTAATTTAAAAAAACCATCAAAAATTCGTATGTTTTTGTTATTTTTACCTATAATTGGTCCAATTGTTTTTAAATATGTTATGAAACATCATGATGATGAAAAAGAACGTTTACATTGGACTTTTCCTGATAAAGAATATTATGATGAATATAATCAATTATTTCAATTAGGTTGGCAACAACATCCTGGATATTTACGATCATTATTTTCAACATTAACTAATTTTGATTTTGAAGGTTCATTAAAAACAATTGAATTTATTGCTAAATTAAATATTCCAATATTAATTATATGGGGAGATAAAGATACATTAATACCTGTGAATACAGCTTATCGTTTTCATCAATTATATAAAAATTCATCATTAACTATTATTCCTAATGCAACTCATATGTTACTTCTTGAACATGCACAACAAATAATTAAATCAATACAAGATTTTTTTGACAAACATAAATCGAATTAATTTTTTATCAATATGATATTATCAAACATCGTTGATTTAACATTAGAATAAACTTTCATATGTTTATTGATCTATAATTAAGAAAATTTAAGGAATTCATTTATTAGTTATTATTGAATAAAATTATATTTTTTAATAAAATAAAACAAAAGTAATGATTTTAAATCTCGCAAATATGAATTATCAGGGGGGAAAAAAAACCTATTAGAGCATTTCTTGTGAAATTAAAATGTGAACTAAGTTGTAGCTGTGATTACTAATTACAAGAAGATTAGAGCACGTTTCGACCAAAAAAAGTGTATGGATGTGGGTGAATATTAATGGAAGATCAACATCCATACCCATACCCTCTTATGCTATCAATTTGTTTGATTCATTTAACATCGTTATACTAAAAATAGCTTATTTGTATTGTAGGATACATTTTCATTGCATAACTTGTTTTCTTCTAATGATCATATATACGACACATGCCATAGCTAAAAGTAAATATCATTTTATTCTTTGTTTCGTTAGTTTAGTCACTATATTAGTCTGCGATACACATTAGTTTCATCGTTTAGTAAGCTTCTGAGAGTACATCATCCTTTGACTCGACGAACTTTAATATACACTATTGAGCTTTGCCCAAACCTCAAATACCATTAGTTCAAACTACTCTACTAGATCAATAATCCCATAGCACATATTGATTGGCACTTACTATAGAATCCTTTTGCGGTTTAAATATTAAAATTCGCAATATTTACATTAGTAAGAATCTACAATAGAAATATTAGATTATTAGAATGCTTTAGAAAATCCTAGATAGTTCCAGATAACATGTAAACAATTCAGATGCATCTCATGAAATGAATAAACAGTTGATTTTACTCATGAATGGTAATTAAATCATTTTAGATTGGACCTTTCGATTTGTCGATATGTTATGAAAAAAAATTAATTTATTATAAAATATTGAAAAATAAAATTTTCAAAACAAGAAAACTTTGTTTCGATTGTTGTAAATTTCTAAAACAAGTATTATTTGCTCGTGTGTAAGTTTTTCTCAATAACAAGAAAAATTTTTAAATATTTCATATTTACACTCATATCTTATGTTCTTTGTTCTGAAATAAATTGCTTCATTATTTTCTTGACCTCTACTTGAATTATTTTTTTTTCTAATAGGAATAAAATTACTTGTATAGTATTAATTTTATGGACTAATTATTATTCGATTAATGATCGTCTATCCTCCATTTATAAAAGATGATCAACATCAAATATAGAAAAAATACATATCAAAAGATCATCTTTCAATATATTTTTCTACATTCTCGAAATTGTAATAATTTTTCTTGAAAAATATATAATCGACATCGATTAAAAAACCCAAAACTTAGATTTATTTTCTCCATGTCATATTTAAGATCGGTCATATCATGTGACGGATATTCAGTCAAAATTCTGATAGCTCGGCATATAAGAAATAAATTTTGCAAGAAGAGTATCGTCTATTTCGGAGAGTATTGTACTTATATTCAATTATCATCATTCAAATAACTATTATATCTTTTAGACCTTCTATGTAATGAATTTCGTTTATTAATTTAGGCAAAACACCAGTTTTTTTTTATGAATATCTGTAAAAATTGTGGATACTCATGATTACTTTGTGTTTTTTTTTAATTCTAAAAGATAATGATAGTTACCTTGACATTTATTTGTAAAACATCTTATATAATCAAAAATCGAAATAACCATGAGTATCTATGGAGTTACAGGTAACTTCTTTTTTTTGTGGTTTGTGTATAGAATAAGTTGAATAGTTTGAAGAAAAAAAAAAACAATGTTTATCTTATTGATCAAATAGAAAAAAATTCTTATTAATTTTTATTAAATAATTACATAAATCAATCAGCTAAAAGTTGTACAATAAGAAAAGGAAATTGAACAATAATAAGAATAACTGCTAATCGAAGAGGTTCTTCAATAAATGAAACAATAAAAACCCAACCAATAATTCCTGCTGAAAAAAATATTGTACCT